CAGCTGAGCCACAGACTCCTCCGGCGGGTGGCAAGACCCTAGGAGCAGGCAGAGACGTTGGGACGGGGAAGGGGCAGCGCGGGCCCTGGAGGGCGCAGGGGTTAAGTGCAAGTGCGTGGAGTCTCCCCTACAGCTGAGAAGGAGAAAGATTGCAGGTGGGAGGGCTCCCAGGGGTCCTTGGCCTAGTCCTGGTTCCCAAAGAAGCCTGAGAGCTTCTTTGGGACCCCAAGTCTGCAGTGAGAATGACACCCGAAACCAACCGGAGTGAGTGACCCGAGCTCGAGCTCGTGCTAGGCCCCGTCACACCTAGGCTCATCCTCGCAGTTGGATTGTATGGGGCTTTTCAGCGCCCTGGCAGTACTGCTTCTGCCGCCACCGCTTGAAAACACTAGCTGTTTATACTCGTTTGCCTCTTTCCGTTGCTTAAAAACACCCCCATTCCCCTCATGGGTTTGCCTGCTTTTCCTCATGAGGTTGCGTCTATCTTAAATCCTGTAGAGTGCAATGTCTGAGCAAGAGCGTATACAGGAATGTCTGAGGAAGGAGATAAGGTCGCTTCTCATCTCCACCAAGGATGGTTTGACCCCACAACAGTTGGAAAAGGAGTACCTTTTGATGATTGGCAACCACCTCCCACTCCGAATCCTTGGGTACCGGTCCACTATGGAGCTGGTGTTGGACATGCCTGACGTTGTCAGTGTCTGCCCCTGTGGGGATGATACTGTAATACTGAAAGGTAGGTTTAAGGTTTTGGAAGGTGTTTCAACCCTGTAATAAAAATAATCACCTAGTAAATAATTGTTCTAGCTCTACAGTTTTGTGTTTCAAGGAATGGATTTTAATTTGGTGTGTGTGTGTAATAATAGGTGCCTTCAGAGTTATGGGCGAAGTTACAGCCTCAGCAAAATTAAACCATTCTCCAGAAAAATATGCTTTCACAAAAACTGCATTTTGCATATGATTTTAGGTTATTGCACCTTAAGTGGGCAGAAGCATAATAGAAGCATAACAAAAGTATGTTTTAAAATTCCACAAAACATACACATTAAAAACCAAAAGAAATTGTAGTAAAGGGTTTTTTTTTTAAATTCATCTCAAGGGTTTCAAATCTTTCAGGAGTCAGCAGTTAGGATGATACCTTAGGTTCTCTTTTCATTCTCTGTTAGAGGAGCTTGCAAGTTCTTGTCCAAAATGCAGGTAATGAAAGACCATGGGTTTATGTTTCTGGTGCTACCTGGATAAACAGCTCCTAGGAAAATTAAAAATAGTCTATATAGATACAAAGGATAACAAAGGGAGTAAGTTTTTCACTTAAATGTGATTTCTTTTTTCACATCTCTTAGCCATTCCAGATGAATCCACCAAAGGAATAGCAAATTTAGTTGCAAAGCAGAGAAGCAGCCATAAGAGTCGAAACTCCATGCAGAAGGGAAGGGGCAGCATTTGCTCTGGGCCAACCTCCACAGGGCGAATACCTTACCGAGGAAGGGTGCCTCCCATTCTCCCAGCTGTGGTGAAGAGCGAATTGAAAGACCTCTTGGCATTATCTCCTGTTCTCCTTTCTGATTTTGAAAAGGCATTTGCCAAGCGATTTGGAAGATCATTCCAGTATATGCAATATGGCTTCCTCTCTATGTTCGAAGTGCTGAATGCAGCTTCAGATGTTATTTCTGTAGAGCAGACCAGAGCAGGTTCTTTGTTAATGCTGAAGAAGAGTATATCAGAGGGAAAAGAGAGAGTATGGCCAGCCGGTAAGTGTGTTATAATAAAATAATTGTATTGCGGATTAGCAGATGGTGGCACAGTTGTGGTACAGTGAGTTTTGTAATGGCTAAGCTTCATGAGTTTTTTAAAGTTGAAACCTGCCTCTACCACTGGTGAGCTGAGTGTTCACAGGCAAGTTACCTAATCTGTCCAAGCCTTACCTTCTTCATTTCTAAAATAGCAATGAAAGTACTTGCCTTGATTAAGGTGCTGAACATTCCCACATGGCTAACCATGGTTCGAATCTGGACTTGGTGGCTTGCTTTCTAAATCTCTCTCTCTCGTCATATAAAAATAAATGAATGAATAAATTTAAAAATTAAATAATTCTTTAAAAAAATTTACTTGCCTCTTGGTTGTGCATGAGATGAGATCTATAAAGTGCCTGGCATTTAGTAAGCTCACAACAAGTGTTAGTTATTATAACAAACACAAGGTCAGTGGCCTCTAAAATATTGGAAATGAATGCTAGGTGTATGTGTTCATGTAAAGAAAATGTAACATGAAAGATGAAAAGTTAAAAAATAATAATAGTAGCAGTGGCCCATCTGACCTTTACTATCACTGGGGAAATCCTAGGAGGCACTTCAATAATTTATGTAGTGTAGTGATAACTACCTTATTTGGGTAACATTTAACCTGAGATTCTCATGATCATACTATAGACAGAGAGGGTGAGTAACCGTGTCTTACAGATAAGGAAACCAAGGGTCATGGAAGTTAAATGACTTTCTCAAAGTCACATGGCTGGAAAAGTGGTGCAAGCAGGGTTTGGTACTCAACTCTCACTATGCTCATCCTGTGCTTTCCTTTCTTTATTGTTTTTAAAAGAATTATTTGCTTAATTGTATTTATTACTATTGTTATTGTTTTAATTTGACCAGAAAGAGACAGAGACAGAGAGAGAGAGGGAAAGTGAGAAAGCAGTTGCCAAGTCCAGGACTTGAACTGCTGTTGGCCAAGTGGGAGTCCAGTTCCTTAACCACCACGCCACCTGCTGGCCCCCATTCTGTGGTTTTCTACCCGGTTGTGTGTCTGTCTTTCGTGTTGTGTAACAAAATACACCTCTCCATTCCCCTTTCCTATATATCTTGGAGAAAATAAATTAGTACTCTAGAATAATATCCTTTTTTCTCTGTATTTCATCCTTCTTTCCCCTCATACTGCTAAATGGTGATCCGATTTAAGAAGCATAGTTCTAAGCAGACTTGGAGACTTCTTGGTCCCCTAAATGGGATGCAGTTTTTTAGGTTTTTACCTAACCAATCTTTCCTCTCTATAATTATATTCAGGTGACCTTAAGTGGAATTTTAGATGTTCCTAACCTTTTTGGTAACATATGATCTCTTGGTTGTATAGATAAAAAATTGCTTCCATTGTATATAAGTTTAATTGGTTTAATATAAAAATACAAGTGTCTTTCTTTTTTTCTTTTTTCTTTTTCTTTTTGCTGTAGGAGGTGGATAGACAGAAGGAGAGAAAGTGAGAATGTATCCCTTAGGGGTGATGACCACCCCACAATCCTTTCTCCTCCATTTTCCTGTGGAGATTTTGGGCACACATGCACCTAGCATGCCTTTTAAGTTGTTAGGACCGAAACGTATAGTCAGCCATGTGGGATCCAGCTGCCTTAACCACCACACCAACTGGCTGACCCAAAATACAAGATTTCTTAAGTTTTACTTCTCTAAGTTGAGGGCAGTTAGCTTACAGTAGCCTCTTCATATAACCATAAGAAAATGAAGTAGAAACTGCTAGTGACAATTTTTCTCTCTTCTTCTGTTATTCACGAAAGGTAAAATTTTTACCCAGCCATTTAGAATGAAACAAGGGTCATACTCCACAGGCTCCCAGGTAGCAAAGGCACGTTTTTCACAGCCTACTTCAAACATGGAACCAATGAAGCCAATATTGAACATGGAAAAGACTTTCAAGTTAAATGTAGTGCAGACTTCAAGGCCAAATCATGATGAGAAATTAAACCAGGTAAGATATATGAGTTTGTAGATATAAATTTACTAAAAATACTTTTTAAAATATGTTGCCACTTACATATGACCTTTAAAAAGTCATGGGACCAGCAGGTGGCATGGTGGCTAGAGCACTGGAATCCCAGATGACTGACCACAGTTCAAGTCTTACACCTGGCAGTTTGCTTTTGCTCCCTTTCCCCTGGTGAGTGCATGTGCCCTGCAGCAAATTTTTAAAAATAATAAGTAATATTAAATATTTTTTTAAAATTGAAGTCATTCACTTATTTCAGGTTTGCCTAAGCATTTCCTGTGGTTCAGTGGATTAGTAAGAAGTGAGAGGTGGCAGTGAGAAAAGAGTATAATTTTATCAGCTGCATGGTTTCTACTATTTTCTGCAGATGAATTCAAAATCTGTATCTCTAATTCCAGCTTCTCACCAAAATTGTAGAAGCCTATTTGCAACTTACATCAGGTGAATGGTGCCATCAGGTGAATGGCTAGTCCCAAGAACCACAATCTTGGTGTTTTTCTCTGACTGTAATGCTGAAAGACTGAATAAAAACTACTAACAATGTAATCAGCAAAAGCTAGCATAATAACTTAAGCAGAACTTATAATCAGCACATAGAAATTAAGTTTAAGGTATAAAAAATGTCTTTAAAAAAAGTTTGCCAAAGGGTGCATGCATGAGGTAGCGGGGAGGACAGCAAGAGAGCACCTTTCTGCATGGGGCATGGTCAAGCTGCAGTCTTTTCCATTTCTCCCTCCTTTGGGAATTTTGGGCACATACATGTGCCCTGCGTGTTTCTCAAGCTGCTGGGTCTGGGGCTTGTACGTTATAGTCAGTCAGGTGGGATCCAGATGTCTTAAGCACCAGGCGGTGAGCTAGCCCCAAATGCTTTATTTCCAAAACTTAAAATTAACATTAGTAACATAGTCTACATATAGTATAATTACCCATTGTATATGTATAGTTTGAGTTTTGACTTAATATATCTAGTAATATAATCACCATCAGAAAAAAAAACAGAACATTTTTTAATAATCCCCCAAATTCATTTATACCACTTTGTAATCTGAATCATTTTCCAGCTAGAGCTATAGGTAACTACTGCTTTCTTTAACTATTATTTTGACTTTCCAAGAATTTTATATAATTGAAATCAAGCAATATCTAGCCTTTTGTGTCTGGCTTCTTTAACTTAATAGGGTGCTTTTGCGACTAAGTAAACTGGACACTGGGAGCTTCAAAAAGTTTGTGGAAAAATGGAGATAAGTATGAGTTTATTTTGGTGCAAAATGTTGATATCTGTAATTTTTTTCTTTGAATCTCTTTTGAATGATTTATTTATTTTACCACAGGGCATATATGCTCACTTTAGAGAGTCAGAGAGAGGGAAAGTGAGAAGTCACCCCCAGGGGAAATGACCAGGCCACTAGTCCTTCTCCTCTATTTTCCTTCTGGGAGTTAGGGTATGCATGCATATGCGCCGAGTGTGATTTTCAAGTCACTGGATCCAGGACTTGACCTACAGTTGGCCATGTGGGAGTCCAGTTACTTAAGCACCATGCCACCTACGCACCCTCATCTTTTTTTTAAAGATTTTTTTTGTCATAGGATGCATGCACTCACTGGAGAGAGAGGCAGGGACAGAGCAAGGAAAGTGAGAAATCACCCCCCCCCAAAAGGGGAATGGTCATGTCACAATCCCTTCTCCTCCATTCTCTGAATGTTTGGGGTATGCATGCATGTACGCATATGTGCCCAGTGTGATTTTCAAGCCACCAAGTCCAGCACTTGATCCACAGTCGGCCTTGCAGGAGTCTACTGCCTTAACCACTATGCCACCTACTGCCCCTTCATGAACTTTTTTTTTTTCTTTTTCTTTTTCTTTTTTTTGGAGAGGTTTTTGCTATAGGGCGCATGCGCTCGACAGAAAGACAGGGAGAGACAGAGAGATAGAAAGAAATCACCCCCCAGGGGGATGGCCACACTGCAATCCCTTCTCCTCCATTCTCCTCTCAGGATCTTGGGCATGCACGCACACGCACTCAGTGTGAGTTTAAGCTGCTGGGTCCGGGACTCGAACCGCGGTTGACTACATGGGAGTCCAGCGACATAGCCATTATGCAAACTGCTGGTCCCTCATGAACTTTTTGAAGACCTTTTTTATATCAGTATTTGTTTTCTTGTTGAATAGTGGTCCATTATACTGATATCTATTCCTTATTAGATGATATTTGTGTTGTTTGGTCTTTACAAATAAAGCTGTTCCAACATTTTCATACACTTTTTTTTTTTTTTTTTTTTTTTTTTTTTGCCATAGGGCATATGCACTTGCTGGGGAAAGAAAGTGAGAGAAAAAGTGATAAATAACCTCCCAGGGGGAATGGCCATGCCACAACAATCCCTTTCTCCATTTCCTCTTAGGCTATTGGGCATGCTCACACATGTGTCTAGTGTGATTTTCAAGCTGCCAGGTCTAGAACTTGAACTGTATAGTCAGCCATGTAAGAGTCCAGTGCCTTAACCACCACACCACCTGCTGGCCCCTTTCATATACTTTTTATGAACATAGTTCATTTCTTTTGGATAGTTACCTAGGAGTTGAAATACTCTGTCATATTGCCAAATTGTTTTCCAAATGTTTTGTTTTTATATATGAGAATTCTAGTTGTTCCGTATCTTTAACATTTGGTATTGTCAGTTTTTAAGATATTAGCCGTCCTGAGTGGATATATAGTGCTATCTTATTACGGTTTTAATTGGATCATAATTAATGATGGATAATGTTGAATGCTTTTTCATATGCTTATTTACTGTTTCTGTCTCTTGAATTGGAAGAATTATTTTTTACCTGTTGAAGATTCTTAATCCAGAAATTCAAAATCTGAAATGCTTCAAAATTGAAAACTTGTAGTGCCAATAAGATGCTACAAATGGAAATTTCCATGTTTGGCCATGTGATGAGTTGTAGTCAAAACATTGTAATACAGAAATAGAGAATTACCTTCAGTCTATGTGTATGAGGTGAAATATAAACAAATTTTGTGTTTAGACTTGGGTCTCAACCCCGAGATATCTCATTATGTATATGCAAATATTCTAAAATACTTGAAACAATCCCAAATATTTCAGTTGAGGGCTACTTAACTTGATATTCTGAATGCAAGCCACTCGTAAGAGACATGTTTTGCAAATATTTTTTCCTGACCTGTTTTTGTCTCTTTATTTCCTTAATATACAGTCTTGTGGAACAGAAGTCTTTAATTTTAATGAGTTCTAATTTATTCTTTTTTTCCTATAGTTCTTGCCTAACAGATCTTTGTTTAATCCAAAGTCATAAATTTGTTCTCCTGTAATTTTATGATTCTAGTTCTCGTTTTTAGGTCTGTTACCTATTTCAAGTTAGGTTTTGTATAATGTACGAAGTATATATCAAAGTTTTCTATATATGAATATATAATTTCAGCACTGTGTATTGAAAAGACACTCTCTTTCTCCTTAAACTACCCTATTATTTTGACACCTCTATCAAATATGTTGACTTCATATATCTGTAGTTCTATTTTAGATCTCTCTTCTGGCCCATTTATTACATGTCTGTCCTTTTGCCAATACCACTCACTCTGTCTTAATTATGGTAGCTTAAAAAAAATTATTCACTTCTCCCATAAACAGAGTGAGAGAGGGAAGAAGAGAGAGAGAAAGACAGGCACCCCCAAATGGTCCTCACATGGTAACCTACCCCAGCCTCACCCAGTCCCATATCATGGACATATGCCTGATGTATTCAAGAAGGTCTCTGGACGTGTAATTGGAATCTTTCTACATGGGTCAGCTCCTCAGAGTGTTATGTTACTGTTACCCTTTCATATAGCCCCTTGTAGTTTTATAATATCTTGAAATTATATAGCTAAGTCCTATAACTTCATTCCTTGCAAAGTTGCTTCGTCTATTCTTGGTTCTTTGGTTTTAAAGTACAAATTCAGTTTCTTAGGGACCAGCAGTTAGTGTAATGGCTGTGTCACTGGACTCCCATGTAGTCAACTGCGGTTTGAGTCCCAGACCCAGTGGCTTAAACTCACGCCAGGCATGTGTGCGTGCATGCCCAAGATTCCAAGAGGAGAATGGAGAAGGGATTGCGGCTTGACCATCCCCCTTGGGGGGGGATGTCTTGCTTTCTGTCTCTCTGTCTCTCTCTGTCTTCCTGGCAAGTGCACGCACCCTATAGCAAAAAAAAAAAAAAAAAAAAGAATTCACTCTCCAAGGTAGATGGCCATGCTGCAATCCCCTCTCCTGTCAGGATTTTGGGCACATGTGCACATGTGCCTGGCATGAGTTTCAAACCACTGGGTCCAGCACTCGAACTGCAGTTGGCTATTTGGGACCCAGCGTCTTAACCACTACACTACCTGCTGGCCCCTCTAAATAGATTTTTTATTGCAGTTGAACATGTAGTTGTTTCAACATTATTTGTTGAAAAGATCCATTGTATTGCTTTTGTTCCTTCATCATTGATCAATTTACTAAACATACAGTTTTTTTTGGGGGGGGGGAGGGCGGGGGAGGTTTTTGCCGTAGGCCGCGTGTGCTTGCCCAAAAGAAGAGAGACAGAGAGGCAGAAAGCAAAAAGGTGAGAAATCACCCCCTAGAGGAGATGACCACATCGCAGTTCCTTCTCCTCTATTCCCCTCTCGGGATCTTGGACATGCACGCACATGTGCCCGACGTGAGGTTAAGCCCCCAAGTCCTGGACTCGAACCACAGTCGACCACGTGGGAGTCCAGCAACATAGCCATTACGCTAACTGCTGGTCCCAACATAGAGTATATTTTTTAGCATTGCTGATAGGGTGCATGTGCTAACCAGACAGAAACAGAGTCAGAGATGGAGGCAGAGAGAGAGGGAAAATGAGAAATCTCCCCAGGGGAGATGGCTATGCCATAATCCCTTCTACTCTAGTCTCCTCTCGGGATTTTGGGAACGTATGCACACATGTCTGGCATGAT